TCTGCGCGATTCATCTTTCTGCACATGTTATGAAGAGAAGTTGGGAGAGGATCTAGGAGAACCACGACATACTGGAGTAGACCAACAGTGGGACCAAAGTAGATTTTCGATACACCGCAGAAAGCTTTGCTTGTGGGACCGAGTCTGAAGTTCGCCGAATACATTGGATTTCTCAAGAATCAGTAATCCTGGTGGATCGAAAGCAAAAGATCCTAATTTGCCAGGACCAGCACAGGGGCCGGTGGCGCCTACAACGTCAGCTTAGGGAAAGCTTTAGGAAAGATCGCGAAACCTGGTGGGCCAAAATAGAGAATGAAATGGAGGTAGCTTCCGCATCAGGGAATAGTCAAAGACTGTTTCACCTGATACGCAGCACCGGAGGTCGTCGCATACCGGTTAGTGAGACCATTTTCGATAAAGATGGACAGTCACAAGGATAGACTTTCGAATGGAATAAAATACACAGATGTCGGAGCCACCAGTGCCTATTGGTGTTTGAACTTTAAAACCATTAAAAGTCGATGGTAATGGCACGGAAAAAACAAGTAGGAATGGCGATGGTGAAGGTGGAGAACAATAAGGGACTAAGGATGGATGCATTGGTTTGGATTTACACGTTTGAAGTGCCCAGTTTTTCCGCAGGCTTTGCAGACAGCCTCTCTAGCGGCTCACTTGATACTTGGATGTTCTGAATAGCCCCAAAATTAACGCGCCCCTTTGGAAGCCGCTGATAAAACGGGTGCATGATCCGCAACGGGAGTAGTCGGAAGAAGCGGATTAGTCGACGCGCATAGAACGTCTTTTGACTCGTTTGACCGCGACTGCTTTTGTGTAATTTCGAGGTAGCTTGCCGTATCGTATGCAGACTGGAAGGTTAGTGATGGTTGTTCCAGGAGTCTCGTACGAATGACGAGACTGAAGTCCACTAATGAATGCGCTACGCATAGCATCGTCGCGTTTTCTTCAACTGAGGCAGACCGGAAATTACAATCTTGAGCGAGCGTTTTGATGTTTTGAACAAGTAGATACCGTGCAAACACAACGTTTTTTGGGCGAACGTACACGGATTCGAGCAGGGCGATAGCGTTGTCAGCTCTGTTACACTCGGGGATGTGTTCATATACAAAAGGTGTCAAGAAGTTGGTGTGCAGGTCTAGGTTATCTATGTTATCGGATTGGATTCGTTTTAAAAAGGCGTTGAAGGTGCGTATCCAATAAGTCCATTGTTTCGGGGCGTTTGGGGCATTCAAATCTGCATCAAATTTGTCGGATGAAAGCTAAAGATCTGTTATTAGTTGGATAAGTTGTGACGTTTTACGAATCAAGCGAACGGGTAGGGATATTGTACTTCACACTTGCCTGAGGACAGACTGCTGTGCAAATCAGGGTACAATAATCTTTATAAAAAAGAAAAAACGTTCCTTGATTGGCTTGTGGGTTGAATACTGCCAGGTTGCTCAGGCCAAGGCTGGTGAATTTTCTTGAGGTATTCACAACCGGAACCTTCGGCTAGCCAAAGCCTAACCGGCAAGGCAGTGAGACGGTGTCTCAAAACCGCAGCCCATTGGGAGCCGGTGTCCAGTTCATCGGATCATGCGCCCTTCGGACAGGGTTAAACGTCCAAGGTGCCCAATACACCTCAATGTCCAATCGAGCCGGTGATAACTGCCACAACTGGAAAGGTATGGGTTTGGTTCGTTCGCCTCTTCTTTTTTGGTTTGGAATCAGGGTTTTTGGCCAACTTCCCTAGGTGAACTACCAGTGGTTCACGGGTAGGGAACTGAGAAGACTCGGAGTCAGACATTTTCGTTTTACTCAACTAATAAATCCGGTATTTGCGCTGTGATAGAAGAAAGAGCTTTATGTAACATGCTATATAAAGCTCACATAGGTCCTGTTAGGCTCCCTGGCTGGGGACCTTGGGAGGATCGTAACCGATGGTTAGAGACACTGGGTGTCGCAAACAGTGGCGTTCGTGCATCTTCTCAATTTCTTTGCAACCTTTGACCGCTGAACTTCTCCAATTTCTGTCCGACCCCACTTTCAACTTTCCTTTCCTCTATTCTTCATCCAAATGGGCAGCCAAAATACAGCAACCAAAACCGGCGCACGAATATGTGTGGTTAATGGTTGTACAAACTGAAGTGAATTGAATGTAACATGCTATAAAAAGGGTGTATAAACAAGAGAATCAGAATATGACACTTGACCCCGACCAAGAAGAGAATAAGAGGTTGACAAAGCTCCATCTCACACATAACTGAAGTATTCTAATATAGGGTAAATCTGAGTTTTGTAAAGCTAGAGGAGGTGAATGGCGGTGAAGAAACGTCTGGCTCGGAAGAGGGAGTCGATTTTGCGCGCAGCATGGAAGACGAGTAGATAAATATATAGTGACCGTCAGAGAAGATAAAGAAAGTCCCAATAGATTATATGAATCTGTGGAACGAAGAATGTTCGAGTTAAAATTTAATGAATGATGCGTGTTTAAGAGAAATTGATATCAGGAAAGTTCCACTGTCATTGACGAGGGAACGGTTGGGACAGTCCCAAGAAGAAATAAGCCGCAGGTCAGAATTTAGGGCGAAACTAAGGGAAGAGCGGTCGTTATTAATGCTTGAGTTAGCGATGCGTCAATAGGAATAAGACAAGGAAGCGTGCAGGGTAGCGACATCAGCAAAGGCGTGAGTAGGATTTAAAGTTGAAGAAAGAAAATCATCAGTAAACAGGAAAAAGGCAAAGTACCGAACCTTGAGGGACACCAGCATTTACAAGCAAAGGATGAGACATGTTTTCATCTACTCGAACGGAGATGTTACGGACTTTGAGATAGCTTGCTGTCCGGGACACAAGCTCTGAAGGAATGCCCAACTTAGGTAGTTTAGTCAGCAGACACGATCGAAAGCTTTCGATATATCCTGTGACACCACGTGGGTTTCTCCGTGTTTGTCGAGTGTCGCTGATCAAGTATACGAAAAGTTTCTCTGTGATCATGTAGTTCAGTTTTAGTTTCATATAAAACCGCAGTTAGTAATTTTGTTGTAAGGGATAGTTCATTATGATCTTGACAGTGTTCAATGAAGTTCGCTTCACTGTATTTCGCTGTATGATGCTGAATGAATGATTCCATAACTCATCTCTTTTTATTATTTTTTGCAGCTTTTGAATGATCACCGAACCTAATCGAGCGCCAAATATTCTTTACAAACGGATTCTCTTCAATGGAAGCTAGCACTTTGTCGGGGCGCGGTTACGGACGGCATGACGACGCTGTTGGACGCCCCGTGTTCAACCAGAGATTGTGTTCCCGACAGGTCTAATCTTTCACAACTGTCTGCCTTCCGTTCGAATTCGTCTCATGAACAATTTTCATCAACCCTCGGAAAGCCGCATGATAGTGGTTTTGATGATGACGACGACTCGGGACAAATCACACACTTTTCACCGTCCTCGTTCAAGACGCCGACGAAAGAATCATCTTCCCCGGGATCCAGTGAACTCCCTTCCATGCCTAGCGAGAAAAGCAATTCGCGCGGATTCCCGGGAGAATGCTCATCCAGTGGTTGTCCTGTTTTTGAAGTAACAGACACTGAACGTTCAGCTAGTGATTGTTCCCTGTCGCCAAACACCCAAAGACCGGATGTTGTTAATGGTGGTATTGTCAGTCCAGCTTTGTTACGCTTGGAAGACACTATCGATTCTGTGTTGGAAAAGCTGGAAAACGGCTCTTATCGTGACACCGGATTCCCCACGGTTAGAGTGCAACCAACAACTCCTTGTTCCCCGGCATCCCACACTCCTAGCCCTCTTTCCATTCCGGTTACTACACGTCATCATACCATACAGCACACGCCTTCACCGCGTCAGTCTCCAGTTGCATTTACTTCATCCAGCTGGTATCCAACATCTTCGGAAGGATCACACTCTTTCTATGATACAAATGGGTACCAGAAGTACGATGCCTTCACAGACGTAGGTCGGTCGCAAGTTCCACATTACCCAAGAAATACAGCATCGCTTCGTGCATATGAAACAAATCCGGTGGTGGCGTACAGTTATGGGATTTCCGACACCCCCTGTTATCCCAGCTCTCCCTTTCCCTACACTAATGAGCTGTCACGCATACCGGAAAAATATCGGCACAGTACTCCTCGATATTCAGGATCATTGTATCCTGTTCCAGGTGGAAACCAAAGCAACCGTACTTTTGCCACACCCAATTATGCCAATTATCGATTCATGCATCCGTCTGATCAACACTGTTATTCCACTATCCCATACCCTCCAACCAATCGGATGCGGACCTATCATCTACCCATGGATGAGACTAGGTCATATTACTCAGAATCGCCTACCATGTTCCCAATGAGATCTCAACAACCCCACGGAGGGATCTATCCGGATTCATCTGTTTGTGATACACCTATTCATTGTGATACACGGACTATAACCACTCGTCCTTCATCTTCACGGTACTATTATATACCTAAAGACCCTTGCTCAACAAACCCTCCGCTTACCAGTGTGTCACAAAATCAGCAAATGCGTAAACAGGCTTATGGAATGTATAATGGACCAACGGACAAAAGGGTGCAGTGCTCACCTGGTCAAATACCAGCTTCACACCCGAGGGTCGTCTCTTCTCCTATGGCGATGGCTACATGTAGCACCAACGGCGCTGTACTCGATGCCAATCGCTCGGATTTTTCTCCTAAGAGCTCTTGGTGCTCTGGTTCGCAACTACTTGCTGATGCTGATAAAAATAAGTCAATCAACGAAGGTGCCAAGGGTCTTATCAACCAGAAACGTCGCCTTCCATGTTCTGTTTCCGTACGTGGCACTAAGCGCCGTCGAATGGTATCGTCAAAAGGCCATGTTTCCTTTATTTCCTCGACTCTCACAGAAAACCTTGTGAGGTCTCTCCTCCTGCACAACGCTAGTCAATATTTGCACGATCCTGTGATTCACTTACCTGTTACTCTGTGTTCACCCACTCCTGTTCCAACAGTTACACAATCTCTTTTACGATTACCCACCCTCGAAAAGGCTCGTGTATCAGATTCAGACAGCGAATTTGACCAATCCCGCAATCGCAAATATTCACAATTTCCCATGTGTCTGCGTTCACCCAAATTATGTTGTTCAGATGACGCCTCTTTGTGTAGTAGGCTCAGTCAGTCTGTCGCAGAACACGCACAATATGAGAAACTCTTGAGTGATAACTTCCTAATAAAAGCAATTCAAAACGCTTCAGTACGTAGTTCCCAAGTCTCCTATCAGTTGCCTTCTCCGTCACGTATACCGCCGGATGAATCCAACGATCTGTTTGATCACCCATCACGCTACGAACAAATGTCTCGCAACGGACCTTCACCAGTTGTCCGTCTGCGACAACACCTAATTTCATCTAATCCATCACAACTTGTTTCGACCAATCACAGAGTTGATAGTAGTCCTGATTATTCTGAATTAGCGATCTCTTCCGAAACACTAGACACAACTCGTTACACCACCTGCTCCCATTGTTTGATGCAAATTCTTACACCCGAGGATGCGATTCGCTGGAGGCTCCCGGACGGTGACAGTCGAATCCTATTCTGCAGTTCAGTTTGCTTTCTTGCATACCAAAACAATAGTGTTGTTGATAAACGGTTCATCTCCACGCCAATCACTCCAGGCACTTGTTTGACCAGCGTCACTTCTCTTTTGTCTGATAAGGACCGCGCCGTCCCTGTGTTTCTCAAGAAGCTTTCATCCTCTAAGTGGATGCGGGGTTGTGGTAAAAGATCTCTGTACGAAAAGGTCAATCGACGCCGCCATGAAAATCAAACATCACGTATTCGTGAACTGTTGGGTGTCCGTAGAGTGTCGTGGCGGTGGTACGGCAGCCGATGGCGCAAGTTTCGCGGTACATTTTCAAACCGGAAACACCATTTTCAGTCAGGAGATACACGCGCAAAATCTCGTTCTTTACAAAGCATACAGAGAACACTGAATTCCTGTTCCTCCAATCTACTTTCTACAAGGTCAGGCGTGGATTTTTATCCAGATATTCGCATCTGTCGTTTATGTCATCAAACAGGCGATGCGGCGGAGGAGGTAGCCGGTCGCCTTCTAAACTATGATTTTGATGTGTGGTTACATTTGAATTGCATTTTATGGTGCTATGATACCTATGAAACTGTGAGTGGTAGTTTGGTTCACGTTGCTAGATCGTTGAAAAAAGCTGAAAAGACTCAGTGTACCCATTGTGGACTATCAGGCGCTGGTTTGCCGTGTTTTCATTCGGATTGTCCATCCGTTTATCACGTGCCTTGTGCGCATAAAATTGGTTGCTCATTCTATGGTGATCGTGGCATGTATTGTCCGGAACACGACACTATTGAAACCAGTTACCCGCGTCTGAATTCACTGGCTGTGGATAGGCGAGTTTTTATCGCACGCGATGAGGATGCTCAAGTTGGCGGCATTATTTTGAAGGTTAATCAACTGTTAGACGCAACTTCACTGAAGCACGATGTTTCAGCCAGGCTCCGCGTCGGCGGTCTTGTTCTACACAACGTTGGGCAACTCCTACCGGAACAACTGTCCAGCGGTTTATATCACAACACCAGTTTCATTTATCCTGTGGGATACTCCAGTACTCGAATTTATTGGTCCTACAGGCATGTTGATCGGCGCTGTCGTTATCATTGTCGTATAGAAGATTCTGGCCCAACTGAAGGCACCGCATCTAATGATAATCGCACCTCAGCCCTTGGCGCGAGGTTTGTGGTCGAAGTGGATGAAACAGGAGAGCCACCAGATTCATTTGAAGATGTCAGTTGTGATGGTGTTTGGCAACAGATACTTACACGTATCAATGAAAAACGACGTGTACCTAGGACCAACTATCTTCGAATCTTCCAAAATTATCTAATTGGTGAAGTATTATATGGTTTGACAGAACCACACATAATCCGCGCAATTGAGTCTCTACCTGGAGTAGATCGTTTGAACAACTACGCTTTTAAGTTTGGACGTCTCCAATTGATTCAAGAAATGCCGTTGGCCATTAATCCCACCGGCTGCGCAAGATCCGAACCGAAGCTACGTACACATGTTCGTCGGCGTCAGATAAGTGAGGCGCACGCCACACAGCATGTTCCGTTAACCCGAAAACCAGCTGGTTTCCACGGGACATGTACGCCCCTACGTTCCAACCCCGGAAGTCCGGTTTATCTTTCATCAAACTCGTCCATGATCCAAAGCAAGTCCCAGCAGTATCGACGTTTGGGAAGCGAATGGAAGATGAATGTTGTGCTTGCTAGATCTCGTATTCAGGGTCTAGGCTTGTTCGCAGCACGTGACATAAATAAGCATACGTTCATCATCGAATACCTCGGGGAGTTGATACGAAACGAAGTTGGAAATCGCCGCGAGAGATTATATGAGTCACAAAATCGCGGTGTGTACATGTTTCGTGTTGATGATGATTATATCGTGGATGCTACAATGTGTGGTGGTCTCGCTAGATACATCAATCATTCCTGTGACCCTAACTGTACGGCCGAAGTGCTGACTTGCGACAACGGTAGCCACATTGTTATTATTGCCAAACGTAACATAGAGAAAGGCGAGGAATTAACCTATGACTACAAATTCGACATTGAAGAAGATCGTTGGGATCGTATTCCATGTTTGTGTGGTGCTTCAAATTGCCGTCAGTGGATGAATTGATCGCTATCTCTCCATTTACTTCCGATCTGGCAGCTGTCAATAAGGTTGTGTGCTATTTTTGTTAATCTCCCCTGTGCTTTGTGTGTTCGTGATATCCACCGCTTAATGTAGGTGAACTATAGGCTCAGGTTGTTCCTTCCATCATAACACAAACTTGTACACAGTTCATACCCACCGTGTTCTCAATATTGATCTGGTGATTCCTCTATCCTCAGTATCTTCAACGCTTGTTAGGTGCTTACTGTCGTTTAAGCGCCTTTCCATGTGGTCGGTGTTGTTTCACAACTCCCTGTAGATAACTTATACATGACTTAATTTGTCGCCCGTGTTCTTGTAGATAATGTTGCATTTTCTCACCAAAATAGCCAAACAACTCAAATTGATCAACCATTGTGCTCATTCTTCGAATTCCCTTTGTTCCCGCCTTACCATCACGCCGTTGGGCATGTATTCTTTTCACATACATATTCCAGATTCCACCAGAATGTAAATACTTTCGTTTTCCGTCATTCTTCTGTACAGGCACATTCGCTTCTGTGAGATGGAAAGAGCACTTAGTACACTATTCTGATAGCATCACGTGTTCTGCTTATATACCGCTTGTTCTGTTACCTGAGCGTATGCTAGTGTTTCACTGTTTTTTTAATGCTTGGTTGGCTCAAACGCGTGTACGGTTGCTTCTGTAGTTGAGGAAAAGCATATACTCAATGATACCACTAATTCTATTTTTAGTTTAAGCCCTGAACTTTCGCGCTGCGCTTTTAGTTCATGTTTCTGCAGTTTCCATTTGATAGGTAGTTCAAGACCAGAACGAGAATAAACGGAACCTGAGACTAATACCTGGATAAGAGAAGCTAAGAGTAAATCCGTCGCCGAGATAGTGACTATGCAAGTGCCACTGTTCACCGTGCACAACTTCAGTACTTGGTAGGATTTGTTTATTTAATGCGGTTAAATTTCATACGGCGCTGTTATCCATATAAAATGCAGGTCACCTTTAGTGCGTTATTTTCCGTCGTTTTCATTCAAATTGGTGCACAATACTTTCTACCAATTAGATGATAAGCGGTTAAACGGTCGTTCGCCTCGATACCAAACCTATCCTACTGGTGCTTTGTGGGGTTTGATTCTCATTTTTGGAAACTACCCTAGATTGGTAAACACTCATTAATTGATTTTGCTCGAGTCTTCAATTGGAAAATCCCAGAAGGCAACCTGGACCCATGAGTCTTATTGTAAAACGTTAGGTCCTCCTGGCTATTTTTTATGCACTCTTATGTAATAACCAGTAAAGGGACTCTCTACTCATGGTGATCGGTCGTCCGGTTATGGCAGCTGATGACATAAGCCCTGAGTTTTGATGTAGCCAACTCTTTAAGGTCTCAACAAGATGGACGCGTTATTGAGAAGGACTACAACCAACATGTCTATCATTCAAAAATCTTGCATTGAGGTCAAGAGCTGCTTGGTCCTTACCGTCCTGGATGTTGAACCTCAACAGAGGGTGACGTTCACACTATCCCGCTGCAGGTACACGCTGTGGTCGGTTTAGCTGTTTGGCACCTTAAAAATGTAAGACTAGTTTTTGTTTGGTCTATCTCTTAACGTCCCATATGCTGCAAAACGTCAGAAGACGTTTTGCTGTTTAGACAATTACATTACCCGTTTTCGACAAGAATTCAGGACGCACTCGGGGGTCTGGGTTAGTATTTGCAAATTTGAGACGCCTTCGCAGCATTTACCTATCCGTCACGGATCAGGTGTACGCCGCAGCGGTCTGGCCGGTGTGACGAATTGATTCAGAGGCGTTGCCGCTGTAAGATGCGGATAGCAAACGCCAGCGGTAGTCGAATATGGGTGTATACGCTGTAGTTCAGGCATCTAACGAAACACTGATCCAGGCAATCTCGATGCTTGGAATTTATGGATTCCGTTAGCTGGGACATGTGTGGCGCATGTCACCGGTTAGTCTTCTTCAGTATGCGATGTCCCCTAAGGGAGATGCGAGTGAAAGGAGGTCTAGCGTGATCCGACCCTGAATTGGCGTTGGCGCGTGGAAACCTTGACCGAGGGATGTGCTCGCTTGGGTCATATATGGGTTCTTAGTTAAAGACACTGATTGATATGATCAATGGTTAGAGACGGTTTTGTGGCTTAATGTCGTAATCGGTGACCCTCAAGCACCTCACTTTTGACGCAGATCTGAATCATCTGTTTCTGGATTTATTTTCGTCAACGCTTTTTGTTGCTTTTTCATTTTTTCCTTCATTCGTTGTCCAAATAGTTATCAGAATGACGGGAACCAAAACGGCGCTCAAACTATAGCTAAATTTTGTATAAACTTGCTTTGGGTAGCCGACAGTTACTGATAGAAATCCCACTTGGCGACCTTTCGTTGTTCCGCTGTATATATTTAATAATAAGTAGTATGTGAATGCCTGGACGAAATTTCCATAGAAGCACATGACCGCTTTCCCGGTTCTTGCCGCTCGTTAGGCATGCGTTATCGGTAGTCTTTTATCTTTTCATTCGTATACTTATACCCAAGAAGTATATTTTCATCAGAATAACCTCTTGCAACGCCGGTTAAATTTGTTTGGAAAGCTCTTCCAGAATCAGTCCATTGTTGAATCAATACTGTTACATTATTATGTTGCGCACACGTCTGAATCCAAACTGTGTCCACTAAAGCAGGGCACAATAATCTTTATGAAAAAGAAAAAACGTTCCATGAGTTGTATTTGGGCCGAATACTCCCAGGTTACCCGGGCCAAGGTAGGTGAATCTTCTTAAGGAATCCACAACCGGAGCCTTCGGCTAGTCAAAGCCTAACCCGCAAGGCAGCGAGACGGTGTGTAAAAACCGCAATTCATCGGGAGCCGGTGTCCAACTCATCGGATCATGCGCCCTTGAGACAGGGTCAAACGTCCAAGGTGCCCAATCGAGCCGGTGACCACCGTCACCTCTTGGGTGGTTTGGAATCTGGGGGTTTTGACCAACTCCCTTAGGTGAACTACCAGTGGTCCACGAACCCGGCTATAGCCCCGAATATCGACTTTGCGTTCTCTCACTTTGGTGGGAAAACACCTGCGCCACGAAAAGGTAGTGAGTAGGGCTTCCTCAGCATAGGCTATTTGAGACGCTTGGTGATATGCGAGCATTTCGCGAAGGTGACCAGCCGCAACCATAGACACCCACCCCCGACCATACTGAAGCTTTTGGAGGCATGCACTCGACCCTTCACAAANTTGGCAAATGCCAACCGAGCCTTCTGTATGCGAGCTGACACTTCATCCGTGATGCGTCCACCGGATGAGATGTAGCTGCCCAAATAACAGAACCTATCCACTTACTCTATTACTTCCCCAGTTAGAATGAGGCTGGGTGCTTTACCAACCCAGTCTTGTGGTGACATTTTACACTTTGAAGGTGCAAAACGCATACCAAACACGGCTACATTGGCATTCAAGCTATTCAGAAATGCTTGCAACTTACCTGGATCTTCGCTTAGTTCAGTTCAGTTTCAGTTTGAACACCATTAACCATGCACTTTCGTGTGCTGGTTTTGGTTGCTGTCTTTCGGCTGCCCATCACTTAGATAAAGCGGGCATCATCCGTCTTCCAACCTTCGGTAAAAAAGACCAACTGGGTGCATGCAACAGTAGAGAATACGACAACGAACTGACACTCGTGGCGTTCTTCTTGTCACTTATCAGGTCGCGATGTTTTAACAAGGTATGCGTACATATTTGTGTACTCTGTTTGTTGATCAAAGATTTTCACTTTCTTCTCTCTTTCCCTCAGAACAAGACTAATCTCTGTCCACCCCTTTCGTGTAAATAGTGAGCTTTGCGGCGATCGGTGAAGTTTCCTTTAGTGTATTTCACTGCACCATAATGATGATGATTATGGTCAGATATCTAGGTTTTCTGATCGTCCTTAACTTTGTTGTTCCCGGTGGTTCTTTAGTCTACCGTCTATCGGCTTCGTGTTTGGTTTCTTATCTTTTCCGTTGAATCATTCTACTCACAAAGTACCAGTAGACATTTTCGTGGAAAATATTTTTAGTTTGAGGATCCTTTCACATGATGGGTAACCATTTTCGAGATGAATTCATAAAGCGCCTAAGAATATTGGAATGACCCAATGCTTTTGTTCGAATAAGTGTTTTCACCAAAGTTCTAAGTCTTCTGCTCATTCGATGACGTAACAGTTTTGAACTTGTTGTCCATCGCTTTCTTAAGCCACACTGGGATGTGTTCGGCCATTCGGTGACGTAACTGCCTCTTTGTCCTGAGTATGTAGATGACTGAGCATCCACACTTGAATTGTAAATGCAATTTTCTTTGGCCGAGGTAGGCAATGGCTCTTTCACCAATGTCGATGGTATCCGGGTAAAGGCAACAACCGGGTCAACTGAGTAGTAGACGCGCTTGACAACAGAGTTCAGCCGCTTTCTGAAAAAACTTGAATCTTTGATAACACAACACTTATTCGAACAAAAACATAGTGTCACTTTAACTCACGCACGTCAGGTCATCTACAAAACAACCAACACAAATTTCCTGAGAATATTGTATTGTGTAACACTTCTCCACCGCATCACTGAACTGTTTGTTGAGGGATATGCCTGTAGCCTTTGCACAAACAAGTGCTATCTGTTAAGGAATAAAGTTACGGTGATCACCTTGTCTAATGTCTGATGAGAACTTCACACGTAACAGTACTTCTCGCGGACATGTTTATCTTCCTGTTGTAGAGAGCTCATGCCGGGTATTTTGATACCGTACGTTCGTAGACATTTCTATTGATCGTCACTAACTTCATTTAAGTGACAGTATCCACCCGTTTATGGTTAGCCACTCATGGTTCTGTTTACCTTTCCGCGACCTGATGAGCACAATGGGCTACATTCTTTGTCGGTCTCCAACGAAGAGCATTTAGTAATGCTCTGCAATAGAGACCTTTTTTAACTCACCTAAGTGTGATGAACAGAAGAC